GGTAAAGAGGCATCCAGTACCTCAAAATATTTAGTGATACATCTAGTATTTTAAAATATTTTTTTAAGTACATCTAAAATCCCGAATTGTTTTTTTGCCTCAATGCTGTATGTATCAAAAAATATTTTTGAGTGCTGGACACACTAAGTATTGGATGCACTAAAATATAACTACTTCATAATACTGAATACACTACAAAATATTTTAGAATATTGGGTGTACTCAGAAAATAGCACCTTAATTTTTTCTTTTTTAATCGATCACATGATTCTATTTTTTTTATGACACAGTCCGGTAGCAAGCAGAAAAGTTTTATTCGTTCCTTCTATTTTCACGAGTAAGGCAAGGAGGATAATAACAAATAAGCGTCTTCGCTTAATATACAAAGATTTCGTTCTGGGATTGAGTCGATAGGCATGTGTGGATATGTATTACTTGGTCCTTACTTTCCTGGTTCATCCTTGAACGTCTCAGGCTCAGTACGGCGATTTTTTTTTGCTTTACTTCAACAGTCACCGTCCTTGTGATGAGTGGCAACCAAATAAACGACGACCTCTTAAATTGTTTTGTTCTTTTCCTTGTTTGAGCTTGAAGTAACGGTTATAAGCAAATACTGCGACCATTTCCACTCGGAGTGCTTCTCATCGCTATAAGGAGAAGACAGAGCGTTCTTCTGAGATTCCCATTTCGGCCATGGCTGCTCGAAGGCTTTCCTCTTTGCTTTCTCGCTCTCTAGCTACTTGTCTGCTTCAGTCACCAGGTGAATGGCCAAACACTGTCTTCGTTTCCTTTCTACAGCCTTGCCTCCTCGTTTTTTTGCCTTTTATATTATTTCCTTTTGGTCAGTGGTAATCTTTTGATGGGTTTTCTGCACCTTGGAGATGCTATATGCTTCCCAAACAGCAACTCTCTGCTTTTGTCAGTTTGCACTATTGAAGTCCTCCCCTTGCTCTTCCTCTAAGAGCGATAAACTTCCCAGATTTCTCTGAGTCTAATTCACAAGATATCGTCAGTATCAGATTTATTCCGATGGAATTGGAACAGTTGACTCTCGTAGACTAATCATGGAGTCCTCTCTTTAACTGCTTTAAAGTGACTTTATATCTTTCCTTTTTGCTCCCTCAATTTCTCTCTCTCTCTCTCTATTATATGTATGTGTACGTGTGTGTGTGTATGTACGCGCGTGTGTATATCTTTTGGTAAGAATCCGAATTTGTGTATTTAATGCTGTAAGTGATAACTACTCTGTCCGAATCCAATTGTTCAATTCATTGCTGAGAACTTCCACATAAATTCTTTGCTCCCAGGAAGAACCTGTGGTAGGTGGAGTAAGTTCAACAGATTTAGCACTGCAGCAGCAGCTGAGGAATTAATCACTCCCCAGGTTCCGATAAATTACACACAGCATCTAATAAATGGCCAATTTGTCGATGCTGCTTCAGGTAGGTCTATGCTTATAGTATCTAGTTTGAATAAAGATCGAGACTTTTGCCGCCGTCGGTCTTTATTTTTTATATTTTTGATTTTTTACAATTGACCGATTCCAGTTGGGTCAAGGGCCAATTTTAGTCAAAGCTCCCTCAACATATATATATATATATATATATATATTTATATATATTCCTTCAGGGTTTACTGAAGCGGCGTTACAGTGTTGGTGAACTTTTTTTTTTTTTTTTAAATTCCTTTTGCAGGGAAAACTTTTCCAGCATATGATCCTCGCACAGGAGAAGTGATTGCTCATGTTGCTGAAGGCGATGCTGAAGACATCAACCGTGCAGTGTCAGCAGCTCGCAAGGCCTTCGATGAAGGACCTTGGCCAAAAATGACCGCTTATGTAGGCACTTCTTGTAGTCATTTTCCTTTCTTGCACAATCTGGAATCTGTTCACCACTTGATTGTTATTTTAAAACACTTCCAGGAGAGATGTCGGATATTGCTGCGATTTGCTGATTTGGTTGAGAAGCACAGCAATGAGCTTGCCGCTCTAGAGACATGGAACAATGGGAAGACTTTTGAACAATCATTCAAGTCTGAACTACCAATGTTCGTGCGTCTGTTTCATTACTATGCTGGTAGGAAGGATCAGTGAGGACTTTTAGATACTTTGCTTAATCATTCATTTACATGTTTGTATAGTTTTCTTAGGATATTCTTCTTCCAAATTTTTCAGGTTGGGCAGATAAAATCCATGGTCTGACAGTTCCATCAGATGGAAACTATCACATGCAGGTGTTGCATGAGCCAATTGGTGTTGCTGGACAAATTATACCTTGGAACTTTCCTCTTATTATGTTTGCTTGGAAAGTTGGCCCAGCTTTAGCTTGTGGTAATACCATCGTTCTCAAAACTGCAGAGCAAACTCCCCTAACTGCTCTCTATGTGGCAAAACTACTGCACGAGGTGGGCTTGTAGATTGTGTCACGTGCTGATTTAGATTTTTTAAGAGCATCTCAGTAATATTTGAAGCTTCATCAAAGGGTTTTAACTTACCAATGTGCTTGAATTTTGGCAGGCTGGTCTTCCCCGTGGTGTTTTGAATGTGGTTTCTGGGTTCGGTCCAACTGCTGGTGCAGCTCTTGCAAGTCATATGGATGTGGACAAGGTATTCTTTAGAAAAGGATGTCTTACACATTGTTTGTATGGTATAGGACTACATGGTTTTGCAAGTCAATAATGAGCTAGGTTTAGGCCACTGAACTGTTCAATATACTGTCAGATGCATTCTTTTTCCATGGTAGTGGTGATCTGAAACCCCATATCAGGCTCTGGCAGATTTTAATATGTGATAGTCCCTATCACAGAGCAATAGGTCATGATAATTCATCAAGGGTAGAGAAAGCCAGAATCTTTCTGATATCTTCCTTTTTGTTTCCACGTTATCGCCATGTTTGGTTCATAAACACGTCGCAGAAGTTGGAGGTGGCTTTGCTTGGCTTGTATTTTAGAGAACATTAAATAACAGGACGAAAAAGGTCTTTTGACATGTATGTTTGGGGCCACTGTACCTTTCTCTACAATGTTTGTTTCTTCTTCTTTTCCTTTTTTTTTTGGGTCATAACAAATAACTGCACCACTCAGCGAAATTTGATTTACGTGCATGTTATTGTAACAAAGTACGTTTGCTCATTGTCTGAATCATTCAGTCAGATATCTTAGTTCAGGTCAAATACCTAACCATATGTATTGTAATTTTTTGCTCAGTCAATGACAAGTTGAATTTTTGCCAGTCGAATCACTTTCACCTAATATGGATGTCTTTACTTCTATCTTGGCAGCTAGCATTCACTGGATCATCCGACACTGGAAAAGTTGTGCTAGGATTGGCTGCAAAGAGCAACCTTAAGCCAGTGACGTTGGAGCTCGGAGGGAAATCACCTTTCATAGTATTTGATGATGCCGATGTTGACAAGGCTGTAGAACTTGCCCACTTCGCTCTGTTTTTCAATCAGGTTTTTGTTTTTTCAACATTCCTCTCCCATAACTACTTACGTAGGCAGTGGCCTAGAAAACCTCAATGCTTATGGATGATGTACTATTTGTAGGGACAATGTTGCTGTGCTGGGTCTCGCACCTTCGTACACGAGCGAATCTATGATGAGTTCTTAGAGAAATCAAAGGCACGTGCCATGAGACGCATTGTTGGCGATCCCTTCAAGAAAGGTGTTGAACAAGGCCCCCAGATCGACGGCGAACAATTTCAGAAAATCCTTAACTACATAAGATCTGGAATTGAAAGCAACGCCACCCTTGAATGTGGAGGAGGCAGAATCGGTTCAAAGGGCTTCTTCATCGAGCCAACTGTCTTCTCCAATGTTCAGGTGTCCATCATTTGCCAAAACTGGTTTTCATGTTATATGAAACATCTTGACAGAGGGAAGGATCAATCTGACACATTTTAATGATCAGGATGATATGTTGATAGCAAAGGAGGAAATCTTCGGACCAGTTCAAGCGATCTTGAAATTCAAGTGAGCGACGGACACTTTCTGTTGTGTGAGTCCATGCAATGTGATTCTGAGCTGTGTTCTAATTCTGTGGTTTTCTTAATAACAGGGACATTGAGGAGGTAATAAGGAGGTCAAATGATACGAGGTATGGTCTAGCCGCCGGAGTGTTCACTAAGAGCGGGGACACAGCCAACCAAATGATGAGGGCACTGAGAGTGGGAACTGTGTGGATTAATTGCTTCGATGTGTTCGATGCTGCAATCCCTTTTGGTGGCTACAAGATGAGTGGGACGGGTAGAGAGAAAGGAATTTACAGTCTTAACAATTACTTGCAGGTTAAAGCTGTGGTCTCGCCATTGAAGAATCCTGCTTGGCTCTAAACTCTGAAAATCCCCCTTTATGTTCAAAACCCCCCCCCCTGGTTTTACTTTCTTTCTTCAATGATTTGAATAATCTGAGTGTGGCCAAGACACGACTTGTAATTATGGACTGGATATCCACAACTTCGTACAAAATCGGGGACAAATATGAACTTGTTATGTTGTTGGACCCCCAACTTGCAAAGCTTCAATTTTAGTCAGTAATTAATTAATGCACGTCTCAATAAAAAAAAAAGGGTCAATTTCTCTTGCCTGTTCTTATTTATTTATATATCTCCAACTTTCTTGAAGTGGGTCCAGAAATAAGACACGCTTCCCCCCTCAAGGAGGTTAGATAGTGTCATAGTGACTAGATAATGCAAGATTTTTTTTCTTTTAATACAAGGCCGATAATTCTGGTTCAGGATGATTGCGCCTTATACCAGGCATTACGTGGTTGGTTTCCCGTCCACGTCATTATCTATGATCACAATCAGCCATTTCACGAATCTGCCACCATAAACCAGGAGGATCAATGACCAATATATGCTTCTTACTCTATTTATTGGTAATATGAGAGGGACCCATCTGGCCATTTTCACTCCAAACCGACCAAATTTGGACGCCTTCCATTTAAAGGCTTTAACAGTTTAGCGTGTGAAAGTTTTAAGGTTTTTGCAACTTATGAATAATGTCAACGTAAATACTCCTCCGGTCCTAATTATAAGACCCAATTGACTTATTTGAGGAGATTAAGGAAGTAAGTTAAGTTGGTTATTTATAATAAATAAGTGTTATCATTCCTAAAATATCCTTGCTAATTAAGTATATTGGCTAAAACTATCATTATTAGAAGGATTATCGTGGAAAAAAATACATAAATATAAGAGAGAAAATGGATTGGGTCTTATAATTAGGACCAAATAAAAAGTCAAATTGGGTCTTATAATAAGGACCGGAGGAGTATTAAAAGAGAATCCAACGGCATGCAATGAACCCGCAGCCTCGTCCTGATAATACAATGCCGACAGAGGGAGTAGAATAGAAGTCCCTAATCTGGTCAACGTCAACCTACTTCGCCTCTAACACGGTTCCGTTATTCTTGTTCCCTTCCGCACACGTCGCCCTCTCATTCGACCACGTGTCACGGTCGGTTATTGGGGCCTACTTCCCGTCGCTTCAGCCTCACCCAATGCAACGTCCCCGGGAACGCACCTCTGCCACGTCCTCAACTTATAATTCCATACAGATCCCCGATTCTTTCCCACGTGTCCTCCTGAGGGTGTTTTTTCCTTCCATAAACCGCCCTTAAAAATTGGATTTTTTATGATCTCGTCAGTTCAATCCCGCATGATATCCGAAAGAGTTTCCTTTTCTCTCTTCACGCATTCTCATTCCTTTCAATGATTAATGCATCCAATCAATCAGGCCGCCGTATTCTGTCATTCCCGGCGGTTCATCCCTGCGAGGGCGTGTCTCCGGCCGCCCTTCTCGCTTCTCTGATCTCTCTTTCTCAGGCTATATGCAGTTTTCAATCCAAGTTCTTCCCAACCCAACGTCGAAACTCCAGAGAAATAATTCGCCAACTTGGTATCATCCTCCTCTTCTTCGAGGAAATTCGAGACCGTGGTGTTCCGATAAGCGACTCTGTTGCTCTCTGCTTCTCCGAACTTCACCTCTGTCTCCAAAAAATTCACTTTCTACTCTCAGATTGTACTCGTGAAGGTGCTCGGCTATGGATGCTGATGAAATCGGAACACGTCGCCACTCAATTCAGGGTTCTGACTCGCGCTTTGGCCACTGCTCTTGACGTTTTGCCTCTGAGCAGCATAGAGATTTGTGATGAAGTAAAAGAGGTAGTGGAATTAGTAGCCAAGCAAGCTCAGAAAGTGAAGCTTGAACTAGACCCGCACGATGAACATGCCACCACGCAGGTCCTTTCAGTTTTGAATCAGTTCGAGAGAGGAATGGAACCCAACTTGAGCATCATGAAGCGAACCTTGAACTACTTGGGGATAAAGAATTGGAATGATTGCAACAAAGAGATTAAATTCTTGGAAGATGAAGTCAACTTCAACTCCTCCGAAGGTGACGAGGGGGAGGTCCCTTTTCTGAGTAACTTAGTTGGGTATTTATGCTATTGCAGGGTAGCGATATTCGAAACTCTGGATTTTCAACAAACCGCCACCGACCCATCGGAGACAAGATGTAGCACGGAGATGATTAACTTCTTAAACCCACAGGACTTTCGATGTCCGATCTCTTTACAACTAATGGCCGATCCTGTGACTTTATCAACGGGTCAGACGTATGATCGGGCATCCATTCAGAAATGGCTCAAAGCTGGAAACAGGACATGCCCGAAAACAGGGGAGAAGCTCACAAACACAGAGCTCGTCCCAAACACGACGCTCAGAAAGCTAATCCACCAGTTCTGTGCTGATAACGGAGTTTCCACCAGCAAGTCCGGTCACCGGAGTCGCGACATAACGAGAACCAGTGTCCCCGGCAGTACAGCTTCAGCACACGCCATGCAATTTCTTTCATGGTTCATTGCCAGGAGGCTTGTGTTCGGAACAGATGAGCAGAAAAACAAGGCAGCCTACGAAATTCGTGTTCTTGCAAGGTCCAACATTTTCAACAGAGCGTGCTTGATTGAGGTGGGAACAGTGCCTTCGTTGCTCAATCTCTTGGACACTAACGATAAATCAACGCAAGAAAACGCAATCTCTGCTCTTCTGAAGCTGGCAAAGCATACCAATGGACAGAAAACTATAATGGAAAGCGATGGATTAACGCCAATCCTTACTGTTCTCAAGAATGGAATTAGTTTGGAAGCTCGTCAAACCGCAGCTGCTATAATATTCTACCTTTCTTCCACTAAAGAAAACAGGAAAATAATCGGAGAAAACCCAGAAGCAATCCCAGCTTTGGTAGAACTAATCAAGGAAGAAACAACAGCCTTGGGGAAAAAGAACGCCACAGTCGCCATTTTTGGGCTTCTCCTGCTTCCTCAGAATCATCAAAAAGTGCTTGAAGCCAATGCTGTTCCTGCACTAGTTAACATCTTATCTTCATCAGAAAAATCTGACCTGACAACAGATTGTTTAGCAGTTCTTGCGGCGTTGGCGGAGAACGTGGAGGGAGCAAAAGCTGTGTCAAAAGCTTGTGCTTTGCCTTTGATCGTTGGGATGTTGCAGAAAATAACATGGAGGACAGGGAAAGAACACTGCGTAGCAATTTTGATGTCGCTGTGCGTTCATGTGGGAGAAGAAGTAGTGAGTATTCTGGCGAAGGATCCTTCATTGATGCCATGGCTTTACTCGCTGCTCACCGATGGAACTTCTCATGCGGCCAAGAAGGCGCGTTCTCTCATCAAACTTCTTCACGAATATAACGACACTAGAACTTCTCAGTGGCTTAGTTCCTCCGTTCTGCCAGAACGATCCCTTCACATTTGGTGAATACAGAACACAGATTACAGATTACAGATTACAGACACTCCCGTGTAAATAGTATACCAATTGATGTAATACGAATTTGGAAACTATGGAATTGGCTCCATGCTTTTTTTTCTCCCTCCTCAAGGAGCGAAGCTCATTGAGTAGTCACTGTGGATGAAGTTTAGTGAAAATAAATCCCAGAATCATATACTTGGATTCATTTCAGTTAATAACATGTTGGGTTTGCTTTTAGCTCAATTTAGTTTTCACGATACATAAGTTACATATGTTTAGAGATCTTCCATTTGATTTTACATTGAAAACTGTGAAATTAAAATTATGAATTTCAATGCTGTGATTTTGGTGTTTTTTTAACATGAAACCAAGCATATATTTAGAAATTTGAAATTGCGATGGGATGTGCTCTCGTTTTCCTTCATGCAAAATGGTAGAATCTATGTTACCTATCGGTAGGGGTGGGAACAGGCCAGGCCAGGCCAGGCTCCACGCTTAACAGGCTCGGCCTGTATTGAGGTCTATTAGCCTGAGCCTGGCCTGTGGCCTGTGATAGGCTTATTGTTCAGCCTAAGCCTGGCCTGTAACCAAGCCTGACCTGGCCTGAAGCCTGTTAAGAAACCTGTATTTTTAACAAATTTTAAACATACATAAATAAATCCAAAATTACAATAATTATCTAAAATTCGAACATAAAAATGAAATATTCAAATCAACACAATTTTTTCTTGTTACAATTACAACAAATCTTCAAACCGTAAAGCATCAAATCTTCAATACAATCTCTTCTTCTTGTTCGAACACCTTCAGCAAAAGAAATCAAATTTATATTACAATTTCTTTCTTAAAATTAATCCAAAACCGTAATAGTTGCATAACAATAATAAGAATCAAACTGTACAAATTGAGTGAAATTAATCACAAAATCAAATTGAATAGGTCGGTTTCTTTGTTTTATTCCTGAAACAAACGCTAATAATAAACACTAATAATAAAATAACTAATCTCCTTTGTCTCTGGCCGAAGTACTTTGAATTTTACTCCTCATGAATATATAGGGCCTTCAATCTCGATCATCCTCTACAAACACAGCTCTTCTTTATCTTCTTTCCAGGTTATTAAATATACATTCATCAATCTTTTTCTAAAGCATAATAATGTTAGCAGTTTACAAATGATTAACTACGATTATCCTTTGATTAAATGTATGTTCATTGATATTTCTCTAAAGTAATGATTAAAAAAGGGGAAAGGTGGTCATATATACAGGCTCACGACTCTCTCTCTCTCTCTCTCTATATATATATAAGAACATACTCTTCAAAATACCTGGACAGAAGTTGGAGACGGAGCAGCGAGTTGAAAGGCGAAGTGCGACCTAACGGTGAAGGGCGAAGGCTGTGATTGAATGAAGGCCGAAGGCTTTGCTTCTGCGTGAAGTGTTGACTGACTCGAGAAGAAGACGAAGCGAATGCGGAGATGGGATGGGAAGTGCGACGCCTAGGTTAAAATTGAGTGGCTCACATAGGTTATATCAGATTTACCATTATAACCTTAAAAAAATACTAACAGGCTCAGGCCGCCTGACAGGCCTAATAGGCTTCTTAGAGAGCCTGAGCCTGGCTTGATAAGATAAACAGGCTTTTAAAAAAGCCTAAGCCTGTTCTTATATGGAAATAGGCCAGGCCAGGCCAGGCCAACTGCAGGCCAGGCCACAGGCCCCTGACAGGCGGCCTGGCCTATTTCCACCCCTACCTATCAGTCATCATTGTGTACCCATAAGGAGATCAACCATTCATTAAGAAAGGAGGAGGAAATGGGTGATCCTCTTTCTCCAACTAATCTTTTTTAAAGAATTTTTCTCAATAAACATAAAACAGCTCTCTAGATGCCTTTGAACCATTGCATGTTCATGGATGTATGCTTTTGAGCTAACGTAGGTTCATGCATATCTAATTATTTCTTTTTTTTTTAAAAAAAACACTTACTGAGTTAACAAGTAAAATATTTACCAAACAAAATCAATCTCTCCTACTTCAAATATCGCCTGCCAAAAGAAATCGTATATGCATTTTTTTTTTCAATATGGCATACAAGTTGAATGTAATTTTCATTGATTAATTTCTAACTGCATAATCAAATGAAATTGGCCAAAAACTAACAGGAAACGAAGCCTCTAAAGCGGGTTAACGTCTTAACGACGTCGTCTGCTGCCTGTTTGCGCCCTCTATAATTGCAGCGAAATTGGCACTTTCGGGGTTCGTCTAGAACCGTCACGCGAATCACTGATTTCTTCCGTCTTGTGAGGTAATTGAATTTTGCAGTCTCGCTTCTCGAATCCTTGGTCTTGGATTGGTGATTTGCTTTGATCTCTATTGTTTTTCAACTCTAGGGTTTTCCATTTTTCTTATTTAACTGCCCCTCACTGTAGACTCTGGTTTAGCTATGGCGACCGAAACAAAGCAGCCTGCTGAAGACGTCAAGGTTGATCTCTTCGAGGACGATGATGAGTTTGAAGAGTTTGAAATCAATGAAGGTAATCTTAGATAATCTCTTCTCTGTTCAATCTGATTTTCCGTGTTTTGCCTCCTTCTCTTGCTTTTTTTGCCCCCAATCAGACTAAATTTTTTCTAATAAATATCCCTATTTATTGATCCTTGATCTAATTCTGTCCTGCTTAGTTGCCGCCGATTTCATCTTTATTTGATCCTAAAATTCAGTTTTTCATTCTGCCCGAGGCTTCGCCAAATTGTTACGTGTAACATCCTGTGATTAGCTTCTATTGTGGATGATGCTCATATAAAATTCAGGAGATTTATCATCGGTTGCTGTGGATTTTGCATGTTCTGTGGCTACTTGTGCAATATTGCGTGTCCTATAGCCAGCAGGAGCGGTTTTCTGTGACAGCCCGTGTTTGCTTTCAAACTGTTTAGATCAGACGAGTAGATTCCTTCCATACATTGGTGGACATTCCTAACGTAGTACATGCTAATTTAAGTCAATTCTTTCGTGAGTCATGACTTGGAATAGATTTAGTTCCTCACGGTGTTGATCTTGTCTCTCATTAAACTATCAGCATCTCAGGGTAAAAATGACGGAAATGATAGTAATATTTGAAAACTGGTTGGGTATTGATTAATGAAAGCATATATAACTTCATATGTTTCGGGTCTTTAGCATTGGATTATAAGTACTTCTGCCCTTGTACTCAAATTTTATGTTTCTTCCTGTATCTTTTGTGTTGTGTTGTTAATATGATCTGCACACAGAATGGGAAGAGGAAGAGGAAGGAAAAGAAGTGACCCAGCAGTGGGAAGATGATTGGGATGACGATGATGTTAGTGATGATTTCTCTATTCAGCTGAGAAAGGAACTGGAAAGCAATGCTGAAAATGAGAAGAAGTAAAAAAGCTGCTACTTGCGGTTGCTTGATGTTTCAAATGCATTGTGACTGAGTTATCTGATCTTTCCTTGGAATTGTTCTTGCCTGCGAAATCAGCGGCACGAACGCTATGCTTAGGCAGTAAGGAGTGTTAGATCAGGACATAAAAAACATTATTCTTGTTCTGTTCTTATATGAGCATGTAAGCTGTTGGATGTTTGAACTTGAACTGTTGAACAGAATTCTTCATCACTTGCTCTGAAAATTTGGCCTTACCCGCTACTGCATCAAATTATTCTGCCTCATTTTTGGCCATTTCTTCAGGCATATTTTCATTTGGGCATGTGTTTATCTGTTTCCAATCTTTGCGGAAACACTCACAGGTGCACTTGCATTGTTTTGGGGGCCTCTGTCTTCCCCATTCATGGCTTCAGAGGCTTAAATTAATATTTCGCATTTCATAGTTGGATGAGCTCATAACGAGAACAAAATCAGCACGCGGTTTAGAGTCGTTTTACATCGCGGTCGAGAGGAATTTTAATTTTAATTTTTTTTTGTCTTAAATGCAAATAATTTGAATTTTTCAGATATCTAGCTTCGCTTATTGTTCACTCCTAGATTTGGAGTGCCAGAGGGACTAGTATGTGCCAACAAGATCTGAAAAATAATTGCGAACTCTCTCGTGGTGTTGGAAAGCTTGATGTTAATTTCATTTCTCTTTTGGTAAGATGTTGTTTGCCCTTAAAAGTGAAGATTTACCTTAACAGTGATTTAAAACTGGATCATGTGAATTTTACCCAAATGTCATCCTCACAAGCGTGATATGATGATTGAAAATGAACTTATTCTCAGAGTAGTCACATTTCATATGCCATGGGGGCATTAATCGCTGCGATTATCCAATGTCGAAGGTTATGCTTTCATGGAGACTACCTATTATTATATAATGTAAAACAGTTCTTGTATCTGTTAAAGGAATGTTTCAAAAAGGTATGGATATTACTCATCCGATTGGTATTAAATTAATTAACTAATTTAAATAGATTAATTATATTAATTAAATTAGTTAATATGATATGTTTTTTTAAAACATTTTAATCATTTTCTTTAATTCCTCATTCTTGCATTATTATTGAAGGAATGTCAATAAGTTTAATTTTTTAAAAAAATTGATAAATATGTAAAATAAGTTTTATATATAAATCTAATCTCAACTCTTAAGTTCTACGTTAGGGGCAGGAGGGTTATTAACAAACAAACATAAGGACGAAGCCGGTAGCAACTAGCAAGAGGGTATTACCCGAATACTCCTGGCCTAGTGGTGACTAGCTAAGTCACAAGGGAGGCGAGTCTCTGCTCTTTGAGTCTCTGCTCTTTGAGGGCGGGGGTTCGAATACTCACTTATTAAAAAAGGTACCAGGGAGGGCTCTTCTTGTCACACGGCCCGAATCCGAACTAGTCCATCGCTCGGGTACCTAGTCCAAAAGAGGCTAGGACTCAGAAAAAACACGGTTGGATACGGGTGGTTCTTACCGGGGGAAAAAAACTAGCAAGAGGGTATTCGTTACAGTGGGTGGGACAGTGATAATGATCATTAGTTTCTCCTTCCATCTCATGTATGACGTCCTTAAGAAATGTCGAAGAATCTTAGGATACCGCACATCATGAAACAGGGTTCCTCCAAACAATCAAAATACTAAAGCCAAAAAAGTTTGCTTTTTCAAAAAGAAAAGGCCCAAATATGAATGAAATGGACGTTGATTATACACGGAATCAGTCGTATATGAGTACGAATCCAGTTTTGATCTATACAATCTCAATTACCCCATTCTGTGAAACATCAAGCTTGGGAACGAGGGGC